ACGCAAAATAAGGGGTAGGATAGAAGAGCATATAAGGCAGCGTTCAGACTTCGCGACGGCAGCGCTTCGGTCGCGCGTTCGACGCGATCGATGCAGTCGAAAGCATGCGCATCGATCGTCGAATCGCGCGACCGAAGCGCTACCGTCGCGAAGTCTGAACGCTGCCTAAAGAGCACAACTGTTCGAAAGAAGCAGTTATGAGTTATAGCCAAGTACAGACAGGACTATGATTACCTTAAGCTACATTAATCAGAAGTGATCCAACGGAACCGAGAAAGTTGACCAGTTCATCCTTAAATTGTAGCAAACAAGAATGTACATCCTACACCAATAAAAACGTGCCAACCAGCGGAAGTGTATCAAGCATCATACAATTAGAATAAATAGGAAGTCTGAAGACCTCTGTGAAAGAGTACAGGGGAAAATATCTGATGAGTGCATAGTATGCAATTGCAAAAAAGCTGGCTAATATGTTGTAAACAGCACATGCCATATTCCTCTTTTAAAAGTTTGGGAAATTTCAGTAGACGGTCAGCACCAGCACGAACCGTCTTCTGTCACAATCTGCCGTTGCTTGATAGGATCCATATTCACGATTGTTGCTAAATATAAAAAAAGTTACTCCTACAGACATTTTTTTTTCTGTTTGCCAACAGCGATCCAATTCAGAATAATTTCTACCATATTCCGTTCGAAACCTTCCCACCTGGAATTACTGCTCAGCCCTTACATGCACAGTACCGATAAAAGCCTGGAGCAAGTTACAAAATCGCATTCTGGACAGTCCAAACTCATTAATACGCTTATAACAAAAAAAAACACGAGCAGTCAACTGATGCTTCATAAGTACAGTAGCGACAACATAATATCTCAACCTTTCGGGTTGGATAGCACCATTTCCACTTGGTTTGTCACCTTCATTCTTACGCGGTTACAATCTACTACAGACGTCCAAAAAAAAAACTCGCGTAACTGGAGTTACGACGTATTCGATCTATTTTTTCCTGGTCCTCTCCAACTTTAAATAACACATGGTACAGCAATCACACATTAGTTTGGGTGTGCGTGACTCCACACCCCCCCCCCCCCCCCCGCCAGCTGTCGAAGCGTACGATTTTCACCGTCCTAGACTTACGGCAGGAAGTAGGAGATAACAAGGACACGAAACACGCTAATTCCTCCATGTCTTTCTGCCCAACTGGCTCTTGCGGCGTCAAGACTCGCCGAGTTTGTCGGTCTAACAAGCCATCCGCGTGATGCCTGTCGCGCGCAGCGCTCTTGGCACTTTGTCAAGTCCTGTAAGTTACGCTTTGGAATAAAGTAAAACGCAATTTTCTGATGCGGATAACATTTGAGGTGTTGCTCATACTGCAAAGTCCGAATAAGGTGACTGACCGATGACAAAGCCTAGAATGAAGAACAACATGTAATGTAAAATAAAAGAGAAAATCAAGGAAATGCAAATTAATTAAAATCGCGTGTAAATTTCTGCAATTTTGCGCGATTCCGGCTCCAAAGCCATAAAAATACTTCAAACTGAACAGTTGCTCTTGAGTTCTGGCCCTCGTCATCATCTTCGGTTCTTATTTTGCAACACCCTGTATCTCCATTCCTGTGCATGTTAGACGGGGAAACCGCTACGCTTCTACAGGTGACGGCTGATAGTGCACACCCAAACTACATACGTGTGATCGTACCATGTGTCTTGAACGATTCAAGACTTATGCTCGGCGGGGTTGAGGTGCAGACACTGACTGAGCCACATCAATTTAGAGTTTTGGCTCTTGCGTGCCGGAACCAGTTCGTTACGTAATTCGATGCCTGACTGACGCCTATTCCCATTTTCACAAATTTGTTGTTTTATTACAGGGTTCACATGAAAACAGAAATTTTCTAGCTCAAATCAAAGAAAATCACATGATCAATGGTTAAAAAATAGATAAAGGATAAAGACAGAGCCTTTGCGTTGATCGATCCCCATTTTGTGCGGATTCAGAGTCACTTCCATTCGGAATAGCAGTGGCTCGTTGAATGTGATATGGCGTATACAATAAGGCCAGCCAATGTACAAGTCAGTGTTTTTATGCTGCCAAACGAATCTGGTACCAATCTACAGTCCACGGAGGGTAGAAGGCTTGGCTGGCCTGGGCGGGAGTTGGCGCGGATTTGAATCAGAACCGCGCGAGTGGTAAGCGCGATACCTGTCCATATATATATATATATATATATATATATATATATATATATATATATATATATATATATATATATATATATATATATATATATATATATATATATATATATATATATATATATATATATATATATATATATATAATATATATGGTAGATAATAGTGACGTGCGAAGAAGGTTAATCGCGGATGCAGCCGCCACTACGCGTAGAGGCCTCCTGTTGTAGTCTTGGACGGGCGTCATTGTAAAGTGTTGTTCGAGGGTATCCACTTTGATGCATTATAGTACTTCTGAGAAACTAAAAACTAACCTCGTCAATTTCCAGTGCTTTCGTTGATTGGTTTGGTAAATGTTCCCACATACTCAGATATTTATTCCGTAAAATTCGCATAACACGCAACATATTAAGCTATATCCTGATGAGCGAGTAGATACCTCCACACGACCACAGTCACTAAGGGAGGAGGAATGGTCGCACGGACGCCCCTTACTATGGGGGCCCTACCTACCTCCCAATTTTCCGCAATGTGATGCTTGACCCTGCTCGGAGGTGAGGTGTATCGAACGGAGTCCTTTGAGCGTTAAGGCCAGCGTATCAGACTTTCGCCAACGGCGGCGCTTCCGCGGTCGCAGCGTTTCGCGCGAGGGATACATTTGATTCTTCGGATGGACGGCCGTGTTTAAACGCGCGCGCACCTTCTACATTACTTAGGTGGCTTCTTAAAGTATCCTGTAGTTTTCGTTATGTTTTTCATTCATATCAATTATATTGTATTTGGTTTGCTCGGCAATTCAGCAGTTCAGCAAAAAATAAGAATGAAAAAGATAACCAGAACTAAGGAAATCTGAGAGACCCGCAGAAACAGAGGAAGTGCGCGCACTCAACACGGCCGTCCATCCGAAAAATTCCAATGTATCGAAAAGTTCAATATGTTAGAGGTAAGCATGCATAACAACCGACAAACATTAGGAACAGGTTTAATAAATAGTGTAGGAAGTCGTGAAAAAAACGCGAAGAACTAACGAAGGAATAAGGAAAAGTAAGCGAAAATGGCTGTGAGGTAGCATCCGTCCAGCCGATGTTTGCACTGGAGCGCGATCGAATCACCCACGCTACACAATCGTACGCTAGCACTAGCGACGCAACCATCGTGCCCGGGCACCGAAGCGCCGCCGAGCGAAGTGTGAACGCTGCCTGACAGTTGTCCCAACATCCATAAATCACCTGTGCCTGTATCACGTGTGCTCCCGTTGATCATCGAGTTCCTCGAGCGGGCGCCAGTAACGTTCTCCATTACTCTCTCTGCTCGAGGGACACGATGAACTTCATACCACTCGTTCGGAGCTTTCACGAAGAAGTCTGACCATCGCACAGGCGATCGTCCAGGCGTTCGCCTGACATTCCGTGGAATCCAGTCGATGATCGCTCTGGCCCAGCGGTGTCCTCGAAACGAACGTATGACGTGTCCGGCCCACCTGATCTTCGAAACCTTGGC